TCCCAGAAACAAGCTTGTAAGGAAAATTCTCAGTGTTCTACCTGGGTCTTGGAAAGTAAAGTAAATGTCATTACTGAAGCTAAAGATCTACAGACTCTGACCATGGATGAATTGATTGGTAATCTGAAAACATACGAGATGAAAAGAAAGAAAGACAGTGAAAGAAGAGAGCCTAAGAAGGAAAAGAACCTGATGCTTAAGGTTGAAAGCAGTGATTCAAGTGATGAAGATAGTGACATAGCCTATCTTACTAAGAGATTTCAAAAGATGGTTCGAAGAAATGGTGGCATACCAAAGTGGGGCAGTTCAAGTAAAACAAGGAACAACGATCTTTGTCACAGGTGTAGAAAGTCAGGGCATTTCATCAAGGACTACCCACTCGCAAAACAGGAGCAATACAAGCAAAATCCTGACAAAGCAGGAAAAAGGAACCTGGTTCCAGATAAAAGATTCAATCGAAAAAATGCTGCAGACAATATCGTTAAGCAAGCTCTTGATGCTTGGGGTGACTCCTCAAGTGAATCCGAAAGGGAATCAGATGCAGAAAATAGTTCCATGATGGCAGTGGAAACTGAAGCAACAAAGTATGATTCACTGTTCACGCTGATGGCACAGTCAAATGATGATGATGAAGAAGATGAAGACGATGAGGTAAACTTCAGGGATGTTTAGAGAAATCTGAAATCCTATTCTTCTAAGAAGATAAGGTCTTTAGCTAATGTCCTAATTGATGCCTATTATAGCCTTGTAAATGATAAGGAGATTCTCACCGTAGAACTAAGAGAGGCCGAACAATCTACAGATGATCTAGTTGTCTGTGTAGTGGACTTAAATGAGACCATAGCTAATCTTGAACAAGAGAAGGAGGCCCTGAATGAAAGAATAACTAGTGTGGAAAATGAGAGAAACGATCTTTTAAACCTTTTAAACCTTCTGTCCAGGCCTGAAATCCTTCTTCGCGAACGCGGTCAAAGCCTCGCATTCGCGAAGCACAATTTAACTTTGACCAATTTTCCTCTTTCGCGATCGCGAAACCCCCATCGCGAACGCGATGCTTTGCTCAGACCAATCTTCGCGATCGCGTTCCGCCTCTCGCGATCACGATGAATAAAATCCAAAGAAGCTCAGCTGCCCTTTTTGCTCAATGCGAACGTGACTCCTCCCTGCGAACGTGATGCACAAACCCTTAGCCCTAAGCGGACGTGTAGCTTTCCTCGTGAACACGAAGTCTTAAATTCCACCTTCCTCAATTGACTCTTCGCAAACGCGAGGGTCCACACACGAACGCGAAGAGTAAAATACCTGCAATAGCTGAAACCAAAATCTGCAATTTTCTTCAAATTAAAATGATCCGTTCAACCCTCCGAAACTCACCCGAGGCCCCTGGGACCTCAACCAAAGGCAACAACATATCCCAAAACCTTATTCAAATTTGTACCAATCTTCAAAACACCTCAAACAACATCAAATCGACCAAAACACATCAGATTCAAGCCTAAATTTCCAAAAACTTCTAAATTCCGTTTTTGATCAAAAACCCGACCAAACCACGTTCCAATGACCTGAAATTTTGCACACACGTCCCAAATGATACAACGGAACTACGGAAACTCTCAGAATTCTATTCCGACCCCTATATCAAAATCTCACCTACCAACCGAAAATCGCCAAAAATCCGATTTCGCCAATTCAAGCCTAAATCTACTCCAAACCTCCAAAACTCATTCTGATCATACTCCTAAGTCCCAAATCACCTCCTAAAGCTAACCGAACCATCGGAACTCACATTCGAGCCCTCTAACACACAAGTCAATATCCGGTTGACTTTTCCAACTTAAACTCACTCTAAAGAGACTAAGTGTCTCAAATCTTACCAAATCCTTTCCGAACTCGATCTGACCGACCCGATACCATATAACACGGATAAACAAAGCATAAAGAAGCAGAAATAGGAAAAACGGAGTCGGTAACTCATGAGACGACTGGTCGGGTGGTCACAGTCCTCTATAGCTATAAATAGAGGGGTTACATAACTCTCAGGATATTCAGAGTTGGAGAAGAGCATTTCGCAATTGGTGAAGGCATCCGCAAACAGAGAGATCAATCATCAAGTGCATAGTTCTTCAACAAAGGAGTGATCAACGGAGTTTTTTTCCAGAGATTAACCCGAAATAACAAAGTGTTACTCAACGTTCTTGGCGATTAAATACATTGCAAGAAGGTCTACATCATCCTACATTCGAGAAAGATGCTTCTCAAGCCCTCGAATCACGGAGAATTTCATAGAGGAGAATCAAGGGATACAAAGAATTGTACTCACAAATATTTATATATAAAATTTCTTTTGCTTTATATTATTTTTGTTGTAGTTTATTTTTGGTACTACAAAAATTTGTTGCGAAAATATAGTTATCATACACATATTTACTTCCTATAGCTAATATTTCGTTGCTATCGGACTCTATTCGATGTATTCGCGCTACTATATTCATGAATACAATCGCGAAATTCAACTAATAAGTAGGGAGTCCGGCTTTTTAATAACGGAAAGATGATCAATTAGCGTGTATCACTCTTAATTTAACTCAACAAAATCAATTCTACAAATTTTCGTTGCTATTGTGTTGTATTCCATGTATTCGCGTGTGTATTTATAAATACAGGGAGGTAATCCGCCTAAAAAATAGGATTACAGTTGTTTAATTATATATTCCATGTATTCGCGCAATTGTATTTATAAATACAATGAGGTAATCTGCCTAAAAATAGGGATTACAGCTGTTTGATTCTGTATTTCATATACTCGCACGAATGTATTTATAAATACAATAAGATAATCCGCCAACAAATTGTGATTATGGGTGTTTAATAACGGAAAGCGCAATATTGGATTGTATTCAATTTCACTATATTGAATTCAGTTGTATTCAAACAACAACAAAATTAAGAAATAAGGTGTATACCATTCTATTCAATTCGACTGTATACATTGTATTCAATTCATCGATATTCATTATTCACTATTATACATTGTATTCAATTCACCGTATTCAATTCAACCATATTCCAACAACAAAATCACAAAATACAATGATATTCGATTTTATTCAAAAAAATACAAACCTTCGGAATATATAAATACAAGCAAAAATATAATGTATTTATATAAAAATATAATATATTTGAGTGTAGTTGTATAGAATACAAATGTATTTGTCTCATTGTATGTGACTCAATAGCAAAGAAAAGAAGAAAGTTCGTCGGAAATGGCATTTTTCGCTCAAGCAAAATATTGTACACATTGTATTAGAACTAAAAATCGAGACGATCAAAAACTTGGCTCTCAAATCTTCTCCGGCAACTCTGCTTTAGATTTTCAAAAGCTCAATCCGTAGCCATTGCCAGAGTTGTCCGCATACTCCCTCTTCGCTTCAGAAAGTCCACCATCGCCACCAAAAATGACTTCTATGACGGCTGCCTTGATGGAAAAGGGAGAGAGATTTGAGGGAGAATCTTGTTGATAGAGAAAAGTAAGAAAGGGAGAATGAACAAAACTGACATATTTCATGAATCAATGATATGGTATAAAATAAATACCTAGTTTACTATAAAATAGAAAAAATAACTATAAATAATAATATTTTAAAATTATTTTAATTTATAATAAATAGTGTATAATAGTTTGCTACATGAGGTCAAATTTCCTAAAAGAGAGAATCTGACAGTAGGTCATATCCCTTAGGGCTGTGCACGGATCGGATCGGATCGGATTTAGCATATTTCAGATTCGAATTCGGATTTCGGATTCTAGAAAATGTAATCCAAATCCGATCCGAATTATATCGGATCGGATCGGATTTTAAAGTTTGGATCGGATCGGATATCGGATCGTATTATTATGCCTCAAAGTTAAACTAATATGCATATTTTCTTTGTAAAAGAGGCAATACATTAAGAAAAATTCATGTTTATGCAATTATGAGAGTACTATGGTGCCAATATAGCTAAATCTAGCAATTGTAAAGGTAATAACTTGGAGGTTGATGTAAATTAAAGTGTAGTATTTATACATGTCCTAATAATTTCGGATTTCGGATTGGATTGGATTAAAATATACCAATCCGAAATCCGA